TTTCTCTTTTATATCTCATTATTTTTTGGTCTTATCAATTTTAATAATATTATTAAATTAAAATTTATTTTATTTCTATATTTAATGATATTTGTTAACATTTCTTTATTTTAATAAAATGAAATAATATATTTATATTCTTCTTCGTTATAATGTAGTAATTTTTTAAAATTTTGTATTTAAATAATTTTAATTTTTTAAAATAGTTTAATATCTTATAGTAGTTGTTATAAGATTTGAATAAATAAATATATCTAATGAATTTATTTTAATACAAAATATTTTTATAAAAATATTTATATATCCAGAAATATACTATTATAAACAAATATGAAAATTTTTAATTTTTAAAAATCTGTATAAATATTTTTAGAAAAATTTTGAGTAATCAAACATATTTTAATTATTTTCAAGAATCATGATTCTTAAAATTTTTAATTCACTTCTTCCATACTAAATCCCTCCTAAAAATAAAACGTTTAAATATAATAAAAATATAAATAATTTAATTTTTATATTACAAAATTATTTATTTAATTATATTATAAATAATATGATATATATATATATTATTTTTTTTATTATATTAGATAAATAGTGTCTAATAATTTTTTTTAAAACTCAAACTATAAGTAAATGGACTTTTTTTTTAAAGCTCAAACACGAGTTTTTATCATAACATATCCTCAAATTTTTAACCAGACATGTCGCAGACTCTTGTTTAAGGGCTATTCGAATGCTAAACCTTTGATACAAACAAAGCATCGTGCGCGAAATGGCTACTTCATTTTGTTCAATCAATCCATAGTCAATTAAGAAACACTCCTTAATTCGAAATTGAGTGGGGTTTTGATTCCTTGTAATTCGTCTGTACCGTACGAGGTAGGTCCCAGTTTCCACAGGTTTCTGTGATGACATCCAAGCGTTCGATGAAATGCCCTTGTGAAAACAATTTGTATTTTTCATTGCAGATTGGATGGAGGGTCTGAGAAAGATGCTGTGGCACGGTGTTGTGTGCCCCGGGCACCCTCGGCGTTTGTACGCCACCAAAGTTGATCTGAGAAAGCTCCGCCCCATGATTCTGAAGAGAATCGAGAAACGGGCGCAGGCTTACCCGGTTCGCGCCATGGTTCCAATTGCCAAGGAGGTCCTTCAAGCCAGGAATGTTCTCATCCATGGTGTTTCCACCCTCCTTAAGTTCCTTCCCCTCATGGCTTGCAAGTGAGTTATTTATTTATTTTGTGGTGTTTAGAATATATTTTAATTTCCATCGGTGAGCCACATGTTTTATTGTATGTAATTTTAATAAGTAGAGACTTTACATTATCAACTAATTAAATGCTCATAGTAGTCCTTCATTAAGGATGGGTTGCCCATTTCTTCTTAGAATGCTAAAGTTGTTGAGAAAAATAAGAAAAGAAATAAAAATGAGCTTCTCCCTAAGTTAAAACTAGCTTATGCATAAGTTAAATATAAGATTTTGAAAAAATTGATAGGAGAGAGCTTCTACAGATTGACATGTGTAAGCTAAGTTTAGCTTATGAAGAAACTCATTTCATTTTTACTTCCTATTTTTCTCTCTTAGAAATGTTTAATTCTGATGAACAATGTTTGAACCAGTGTAGTTGGACTTGTTACTTGGACATGTTTTACCTATATTGTAAGCTCAAAGTGTTGAAAACACTATATTCTTATCTTCTCATCTTATTTATGCATTCACAGATTCTGTCCAGAGATATATATTGGTGAGCAGGGACATTTGATTCAAACTTGCTGGGGTTATAAGCATCGTGCCAAGAATCGGGTTCATGAGTGGGTAAAAGGTGGTCTGAATGATGTACTTGTCCCTGTAGAATCGTTTCACCTGAACAACATGTATCAAAATGTTATTAGGCACAACGAAAGGTTTGACTTTGATCGCATTCCTGCTGTTGTTGAGCTATGCTGGCAAGCAGGGGCTGATGCCCACGATGAAAACCTTAATTCAGGTAATTGGAACTTGGATACTGGCAATGGAAGCATTCTCGAAACTGAGTCTTTGTCACCAAATGATCTTGTCTCTATAGCTAATAAAACATTAACTGCATGGGAGACTCTTAGGTCAGGGGTGGAGAAGTTGTTGTTGGTTTATCCAGTAAAAGTTTGTAAATATTGTTCCGAGGTTCATGTTGGTCCGTCTGGCCATAAAGCTAGGCTCTGTGGGGTGTTCAAGTATGAGAGCTGGAAAGGAGCTCACTTTTGGATAAAGGCTAATGTGGATAATTTAGTGCCCCCAAAGGTTGTATGGAGACGAAGGCCTCATGATCCTCCCGTGCTTGTGAATGAAGGGAAAGACTTTTATGGACGTGTTCCAGCTGTATTGGATCTGTGCTCAAAAGCTGGTGCCATTGTGCCTGCAAAGTATAATTGTATGATGAAGGTGCAAGGTTTGTCTGCTCCTATCAATAATCAATTTTATGGGATCTCTAGAGAATCAAACTTTTGAAAGCAACAGTAAGTTGAATTGTAGGTCTGATCGGAATCAGGCAGTCAATCAGGGACAGTTTTGGGGAAAATCTGATAACATGTCATCATTTTCCACTGCAATTAGGTTGTCTGGCATATCTGATTATGGATCCATGTGACTCTTATTCTCTTGCTGTAATTGTCAGTTTCTTACAGCAAGCTAGAAATTCGGTTCTTATATCTTATAGAGTTAATCACCTATATATTGCCAGTGTAAAATTTTTTTACACTGACAACCAATCATATCTTTTAATAGTACCATGTCAGTTACTTATTTAATGAAATAATAATAAAATAAGTAACTTTAAAAGATATGATTGGTTGCCAGTGTAAAAAACTTTACACTGGCAGTGTATGGATGATTAACTCTATCTTATATCTCCAAAACATATTTCTGGGGAGCAAGTCAAAGTCTCTTCATGTATGTGGCCGGTCTCACTCCTCAGGTTGGAAGAAAAGGTAATTTGATGTTATAATCTCCAAACACAGTTCTCAGTTTTGTTTCTCTTTTGATTAATTTTGTCCCTTGACGAATCATTAGACATTAGTCCTTAATTGCTGGAAATATTCACAAGGAAATACCACATAGTTGTAAATTTTTGTAATAATTTCATTGCTGTCAAAAATTGGAATGGCAGTTTTTCACTGAAATTTCACTTTTGTTGAGATATAAAAAGGAAGGATTGGTTTCTTGACAAAAGCGTTCATTTCCTATCAAGTATCAACTATCTAGAGTTTAGTTTGTCAGTTGCAACTGCTGATTGAAATCAAGGAATCAGATTGATAAAATACATATACAAATGTCTAGCAAATAGTGTTAAAGTCTATTCCCTTGATTTTTAATCAATAGTTATAGCTACGCATTTTTTTCCTCTATAGTTCACCCTTCACTTTAGAAGGGTCAAATAATTAGTCTTCTGGTATGTTGCTGGCACTTGCGGATGATGTTTCCTAATGGATGTTGCATTCACAAGTTCCCTTTATTTTTTATTTTTTATTTTTATTTCCTATCAAATAAATAAATTGGTGGAATTTTAAACCAAATATTTACGACAAGAACATAGTGATTTGGCAATTGGCTAGTTGTCTTGACTCTTATTATTGCGCAGGGATAATATCTTGCGGTGACTAATGTTATAAAATGTCTGGAGAAAGAAAAAGTGACTACAAGTGAAAAGAAAAATCGGGGGTTAGTGTACCCGGTTTTTCATGTTATTCTTAGCTTCTATTTGTTTTGGTTTTCGAGAATCAATTTTTGTATTTTTTAAGCGAAAACCATTTTCCTATGTATAACTGTGAAAGAATCACTTTTCTATATATATATATATATACATGTGTAGTTAAGAATACATATATATATATATATATATATAAGATCACTTCCATTTAATCAGTTCCAATTTTTATTGTGTTTTACACTGATGAGTTACAATTCTGAAAATTAGCTGGTATGTTTAATGAGATAAAAATATAGAAAAGAAAAAGAAAGTTTGAACTTTTCATCTTCCTTACTATTGAACGCTTGATATATGTTATTTTGGGCATGTTGGAAGAATAATAATACTTAAATATGAATTCAAGAGACGAGGTGTATGAGAGCTCTGAAATTAAAAAAATAAAAATAATGTTAATGTTAGTAACTTAGTATATTATTAAAGTATCATCTCAACGAAATATTCTGAGTGTGTTAAATCAAACCACTTTGTTTATAGTTGCGTCCTAACAGATGAGAAAAGAAATTATTTTGCCTTCACTCTGATTCTTTATTTTGTTCTCAAACATAATTTGGGTAGAAGAGAAGCCTAAAAATTGTTAAAATGGTAGTGGTTACTTAAAATTGATCACTTGTTTACTCAAGACTTTCAATCAATCTAACAAAAAAAAAAAAAATGAAATTCATCAGCAGAAGAAGCAAAATTGGGAAAACCCTGAACTGAACGGCTGCATTTACTTTTGATTATGAAGATGTTTGTAGTTAGAAATTTTAGTTTACGTAATTCCCGAATCACTTGCATTAGCGCTGATGTGTTGTTTATTACGTCATTTTGTAATTTGTATTCAATTGAATGGAGAGATTCCCATAAAATTACGTGACTCGCCTTAACTTAAAAAAAAAAAAAAGAAGAATGTTGCAAGCCCGCCACTATTCTGAGGTTGTCTGTGTCAGCCATGACTTGTCATCTATTTCATCAATTTCAATAGAAAACTTTGAATTCTAAACTTGCAAATTCGATTAAGCATCCAATGAATAAGGACTTTCAATTGATCAAGTTCTTTGGTGTTTTTCTCTTCGAGATTATTGATGCTAATTAAACTTTGATCGTTGTTCATAAAGTATGGTAAACCAAAATCATTTGATTTCTTACCATCAACAACAAAGACATCCTACTTGGTGAAGTCTACTACAAAGATCATGTCATTTAACTCAACTAAAACTTCAGGAATTGGTAAAAGTAACAAATGGTATCAACAGATAACAGATTCTGTCATACAAACACAACTCACAAGTAAAACAAGAATTTCATGTCATATAAAATGTTCTTTGCTTTTAATTGTAAACATAACAAACAATAATTTTAAAAAAAATGCGAGAACAACTATAATAAGAAGCTCATGCATACCCACTACGACTAACTGTCCCCTTAAAAACATAGAGACAGTCTCCATTTTCAACTCCATGCCACCGGAGGCTACAACTATCACGCATAATCCTCTGCCTGTGTATAAACAGATAGTCATCAACTGGCAGAATTTTTCTGCTTAGCAGTAACTGCTTCAACTCATTGACTGTGCTTGCATCTCTCATCTCCAATGGAATGGTGGCAGCATTAAGCAAACTAGAGGAAGTTTGCACTACCAAGCTCAACTTCCTTGTGGGAGGTTCATCTCTTGATCGATTCATGGTCTTGAGGAACACAACAATCTCAGAAGATTCGCGTATGCCATACTCACTCAAGACTCTAAAGTCTTCATCCAGTTCTATACCTGAAGAGTATAGTGACATTCTTTTGATGGGTGTGCTATCAATGATGTGAATTTTTTCCTTCAAGCTACGAACTGTGTCAGTTCTGTCCACCTCAATGTTGAACTTCCTAGCTGAAAATTTTACTGTGATTTGCATTTTGTTAGGATGTGGCTCCACTTGTTTGATGGTGAGGTCAACTTTTGTGCCTTCAGTCACAATAGGGTAATCTTCCATGTCCAATCCATCCAATAGTTCCCACCCAGAAACTGTTAGGATTTGTGAAGCCACTGGAACACCATGGATTTGTTCTATTTTCCTCTTGATTTCAACAACTGTTTCTTGGTTACCCACTTCCATGAAAAAATGGTTTGTTCTTGTGACAATAGCAACTCGCATTGTGAAGCCTGATGTTTTTGGACAGGAAAAAGGGAGACAAGAGCAGAAAGTTAGAGCAGTTTTAATTTTCACAAGTAGTACGTTCAATGTGTGTCAGTAACAAACTATGAAGACAATTACAATGATTAGTTAGCCTCATGAGATTTTGCATGCAAGGGGATGTAAATTGTTGAAATCATGTTAAAGATATGAGCATTTCACATGTTTACTGATGAATGTGGGGCTCAAGCTCAATTCACGCAGAACATCTCTCAATATTTGTATGTGCGCGTGACTATATACGTGTCTTCTGAAGGATATCTTTGAAACTGTATTTTCTGAAATTAGCTAGTAACTATGTTGTTATAATCTGCAATAACAATATAAAAATAAAGCAAGGAAATCTAGAATTGGGTTTTATCAGAAGTTTGCAATTTTAAAATCAGTATGTCACTGTGGGATAAATACATTGTTGTAGCATACATTGAGATTTTTGAACAATACTGTAATTTTAGTCAACATTCATTATGCAATAATTTAGGTGATATTTTCGTAACATATTCTACAATTTAGAAGTTCCAAGCCGAGTAACAATCCCTATATACTAGACATCCTTCTCTGACCTATGCTTACACAGCCCAACTTGTTGCCTGTAATCCAAATATGTGGCATTTAGTTACTGATTGTTAAAAAATATAAATAGAGTAAAGCATGCGTGGTCATATATAATCATATAGTACAGCTAGTAAAATTTATTTCCTCTCTTTATATTGTGTCATGTGCATGTGTGGGTCTTTTCCGAACAAATTGGTAATCAGTGTAGTGTGTCTGAATTTTAGATGAGTTCCAATGGAAACTTTCCTGCAAAATTGTCAAGTCTTAATAGCAAGAACTAGGATGTGCTGAAACTCCTGAAAGATGCCTACCCAAAATTAAGTGAGGGTGTAACAGATGTTCAGAAGGTTGTTTATAAGGAGAATCAGAAGAAAGACAAGAAGACAGTCATGTATACGCTTCATTATGTTGATGTGGCAAATTTTGACAAGATTGTTGGTGCTGCCACAACTAAACAAGCCTGTGAAATTCTAAAGAAATTTTACATTGGCGAGAAAATGTTAAGAAAGTGCGACTTCAAACTTTGCAAAGACAATATAAGTTGTTGCAGATGGAGAATCTTGAAAATAAAATGGTTGGTTTTGAAGCATTACTAATACGATGGTTATTGTAAAAAAAAATACTAGATCAAAATATAATTGAAAATATCTTATATGTACAATGCAGCTAAGATTTGGCCACATTACAGTAACAATTAGATAATCATATTAAAAGAATGAATCTTAAAGAGCTATAAGGCTCATTTGGAGGCCTATGAATAAAGATTGAATGAAAGAAGAAATAAAAATTTGTTGATCAAGCTTTGCAAACTCAAGTGACCAATAAAAGAGTTATAGATACAAAAAGTAGATGAACTTCTAATTTTTTAGATTTATGAGATTTTTTAATTTAAATTTTGAATAAATTTTAGATAGAATATTTTTTTATTGTTATAGTTTCATCTTTTATATTTTATTTTCAATTATTCAATATAATCTCAACAAATAGAGTTGTTAGTAGATGAAATTTGTTAAGAATTTTAAATTGATTGTAAGCCTATACATATGTATTATCTTCTATGAATTTTTACGGTAATTTTAATGATATTTTTTCATCTTCAATCTTAACTTCAATTTGTATGCAATATCCAATTATTCTACATTTTTTATAAAATATTTTCAACAATGGTATTAAGAGTTTGCTTCTTACGAACTGTGAGAATTTTTTTTATTGAATTTCTTTTTATTGAATGCTAAACATAGTGAAATTAAGTGCTAAATTAAATGATTTATTGTTCAAGTAATTTTGGTGCAAGAATGTCTACTTTCACCAATTCACCTGTAATTTCAATGTTTAATGATGAAAATTATCATATTTAGGATTTCAAGATTTATGAAAAGTTGTAATTTCTAAAGCTGATCCACCACCTTTAAGAGAAAATCTAACCATTATACAAATCAAAGCTTATGAGAAGAAGCTAAAGAAAGATAATGCCACCACTTGTCTGCATGCGTGACGTGCAAATCATAATTTTACTAAAATGATGGACTTGGAAATCCCTAAATAGGTGTTGGACAAGATTCAAGATGAATTTAAAGGCAATAGCTGAGCCAAATCTGTTAGGTTTTCTCACATTGAAGAGAATTTGAATTAATGAGAGAATTTGAATTGATGAAAAGGAAGGATAATGACTCTGTCAAAAATTATTCTAGTAAGTTAATGGATATTGTGAACCAAATGTGACTTATTAGTGAAACATCATAAGGTTGTCAAAAAAATCATGGTTTTGGTGTCTAAAAGATTTGAAGCTAAGATTTCTGCAATTGAAGAGTATTGTGATTTGCAAACTCTCACAATTATTGAATTGATTGACAAACAAGCTTCATTCACAAAAGCAAAGAGTCTCGATTAGAAGCAATGAAGCTATTGAAGGTGCCTTTCGAGCAAAGCACAATGGAAGGAATTTTGGAAAGTCACAAACTTTCAATAACAAAGGAAAAGTTGAGGTTCTTTGAGAAAATGAATTTTTTTTGCCTTGTTCTTGTTGCCAAAGAACCAATCATGTTGAAGAAGATTGTTGACTTAAAGATAAACCTTTTCTCACTATAATTTTTGCAATAAAAATGGCTATAATGAAAAGTATTACATATTAAAAAAGAATCCGTTTGAACAACAACTAAAAAATAGAGAAATGTGATTGAAGAAAAAAATGATAAAGATTATTTATTTATGGCATCTCAAGAATTCAATTCACATGAATTGGATACTTAACAAATGGATTGAATTGAAAGTCAAGATGAAAAATGATAAAATTGTGCAAGCTAATAGAAAAGAAACACTTTCTTTATCAAAATCTTCTTAATTTTCCACAAAGGTTAAAGAATGGATATGAAGTCTCTTTCAAAGAATATTATTATTTTATCATAGATGAACATGATTTAGAGATTGCAAAGATTCAGATGATCAAAAATAATTTTTATTTGAAATTTGATTTAGCCGAAGATCATGATTTTATTGCTAAAATTGATAAGAGTAATGTTTAACATGCAAGATTTGGTTACATTTTTTATGCAAGATGTATTTGAAATGACAAATTCTAACAAGAGATATTTAAAGACAAAAGAAAGAGTTAAATTGCATGATTAGAATAACGATTTAATTCAAGAAATTGATATGCAACAACTTGTTGACATGATGTCTCATAAATCAAGTTTTGGAATTCATGAAACTAAAATTTTTTATATTCATGATAAATCTCAAAGAGGAGTGTTATATTTATGAGATTTTCTTTTATTTAAATTTTGAATAAATTTTAGATAGAATATTTTTTATTATTACAACTTTATCTTTTATATTTTGTTTTTGTTAGTAGATGAAATTTGTTAAATTGATTATAAGTCTATATATAGGTATTATTTTCTATGAATTTTTATGATAATTTTTTATTTTCAATTTTAATTTTAATTTGTATGCAAGATCTAACTTTTCTACATTTTTCACAAAATATTTCCAACATAATTAAGATAGATTGAAGGATGATGACAAGATTGAATCCTCAAATTAAAATGTGAGGAGACTATGCCAAAACCACAAAAGGTAAGAAAAAGCTTCAATAAAAGAAAAGTGCAGTGCTTTAATTGTCAAAAAAAAGTGGGGCCATTTTCCAGATGAATGTTTGGCAAAGGTAGACAAAAAAAAAAAAGGAAGAGATGATGACGCATACATGGCCTACCAGGGAGATTTTTTACAATATGAGTTCCAGTACCTTGATACTAGTTGTTTGAACCATATGACTAATCACAAAGAATGGTTGAATGATCTTGATACTTGAAGAAGAAGCAAAGTTCAATTTGTAAATGATAGAACATCAAGTGCAGAAGGTGTTGACAACATTGTGATTAAAAGAAAAGGTGAATAATTAGCACCTATTGAGAAAGTGCTATATGTACCATGGATGAAATACAAGCTTTTGAGTATTGGACAATTGATTGAGAAAGGTTTTCTGTTGTTATGAAAAATGATTTTGTGATGTAATTCTGCTCAAAGGGTTGATTTTAAAGGTTCCTATTTAAAAAACTAGGACCTTTCAAATCAACATGAAGGCTACTGAATCAGACGAAGAGTACTGGTTTTGGCACTTAAAGTTTGAACATCTAAATTTTAGAAATGTGATTCAACTTAGATCCAAACAAATGATTGATGGACTCCTTGTAATTAATGTACCAAAAAAGATATGTGAAGTGTCTTTGGTTGGCAAACAACCTCAATTCTTTCAAATCACGCTTGCCAATAAGAGCAACAAACTTGTTGACAATGGTGCATTCTTACATTTGAGGTGTCTTTATTTGGAGGTAATCGATACTTCATATCATTTGTTGGTGAATTTAGTAGAACAACCCAGTTGTATCTAATTAAAACTAAGAAGGAGACACTTGAAACCTTTTAAAGATTTAAAGTGACAATTACAACGTGAGAAATTAAAGGATGCTTGACATGACAAGGAGTATGCTAAAGGAGAATCAATGTGGGGTGGTGCTATGTTAGTGTGTGTTGCTTGTATGTCAATGTCTAAGCGGTTTGGTGCCTGTGTGATAATGCCTAAGCAACTTGGTGCCCTTAGTGGTAATGTCTAAGTGGTTGCCAAGCTCATTTTGGGTACAATTGTTTCCACTGCATTATATGTGTTTGGCAGATGTCCAAGAGACTAGATGAGTTAGTGCCAAGGAGGTGTGGTTAGGGAGGAAGCCAATAATGAGTCATCTAGATTTTTTTTCTTTTTTTTGGATAATTATGACCTAAAACAAGCCCTTTAAGCTGGGAATTAAAGTATCAACTCATTTTTACTTCAACTCAAATTTAGTAAGTGTTTAGTGAAACGTGGTATTTATGTCAGATGAATGGAGGGTCCAAATTGTTTTTATTCTGCC